CCCGTCGCCGATCAGCGCCCGTAACTCAGGGACGGCTGCGAGGACAGCAAGCACCAGTGTGAACTGGGGTAGGGCTGCCCCTCTTCCTCTGGCTCCTGTCACCATAAAGCCAGCCTGCCCGGCCGCAGAGCCCCCTGCCCCATCACCCCTCCTAGGGGTCATGCCACCAAAAAGCATTTTGGGCCACACTGGAGGGACTGGGGTCCTTCCTGCCCTCCTGTGGAAGGGGGGCAGAGTAGCTTAGCGCACGTGCCACAGTGCCCCGCATCCCTCCCTGCCCCAGGCCATCCTTAGCCACGAGCTAAGGCCCCCCCCCGGACCGTGTCCCAGGGAATCACCGCGGCATTCCCCAAGCCACGGGATGCTCCAGTGCCCAGCTCTGCCCCTTTGCTGCCAGGATGCCTCTCTGCCGCAGGCTCGGAGCCAGGGAAAGGGAGGAATGATGCCAACAAGGGCAACCCAGCCCTCCAGCACAGCCACCTTACAGGCACCCTCTCTCGGCTCTCGTGCCAGCTGGAGAGCAGATCCCCCCTCAGTGTCTCCTGCTGCAGCCATCCCTTACTCTGGAGGAAGGACACGATCTCCTCAACGGGCCGGAAACCGCACAAGCCCTCAAAGGGGGTCAGCGCGATGGCCATTTCTGGCTTGTGGTTGGTGTCCGGGTAGTGCTCAGGGAACTGGGCGTGCAGCTTCGCCGCAAGCTCCTGCAAAGGAGCACAGGAGCCAGGTGACTTCGCCTGCCATCACCCCACCTCTCCCTGCCGCCAGCAGGGTCGGCCAGACGCAGGCTCTGGGAGAGACATGCTTACCAAGGCGCCCCAAACCCAGCTGGGCTGGCATGGCATGCGTCGGGCTGGACAGCCGACTGCGCGGGGCTGAGGGCTGGCAGCCCAAAGTGAGCTGCGTCCAGAGCTCTTCCTACCTTGTTGGGGTGTGCCTGGATGGAGAGGGCCGTGTTGACCGAGAGCACCTTGAAGAGGAAAGGCAGCTGGCCATCGAAGGTGTCCTTGACCTTGGCCCCCAGGCAGCCAGGGTTATCAGCGATCCACTGGCCCAAGGTCTGCTGGGGGATGCGGTTATCCCGGATCACGGCGTCGCCCTTGGGGTGCGCGCCCATCCAGAGCTGGCAGGAGGCAGAGGAGACACCACCGTCAGCAACCGGCTCTCCGCCGCCAGGAAGGCAGCAGGGTCGCGGGTAGGGAACCGCCGGGAATGACCGGCTTTTCTCAGAGCAATTAGGCCCGAGACACAATCAATAGAGCCAAGGTAGCTACTGTTCCTGCCTCATCCTCAGGGGCTGAGTCACACCAACTCCTCAAAGTGCTTTCTCTCGCCTTTCGGCCACCCCAGGCACCTCCAGAAACCCGGGACTGGTACTGGACCCAGGCCGGACCACGCGAGGTAGGAGCGGCTCCTCTGCCGCGCTGGGTACCGCGGTGGGCACGCGGCGCCTCAAGGCCTGGTCCCCTCACCGTGGATTCGCGCCCCCCTTCCCATTCGGCCATCGTGCGGGACCCTTCCCCAAAGCAGGCGCCAGGGCCTGGAAGGACCCGGGGGACGGGAAGGAGCCGGGCGCTCACTTCAG